TTAACGCATCGAAAGTTGTGTTTTTTCGTTATCTGCGATACAGTTTGTAGAATCCATTCACTGTGGTGTTTCAGGGATTAACATCCAGTACATTTACTTTTATAGTACTGTCACCAGCCTGCCTGTACCTAATGGTATGTGAAATGGATGGATTATAGCAGTGGCATTGGCGTTGAAACCTTATATGTTGGCTAAATTACATCACACAGAGTTGGCTTTTGAAAAAGTGGAGATCATATAGTCATTGACAGTAAATACGACGTATTGTATAATTTTGCACGCAGCGTCAATTTTCACAAAAGTTCGATCGAGGTTCTACTTTTTCTCTTCTTCAGAATTGAATCTGGACTGGGGGTTGCTTATATTCGGAGTGTGAATGTCACCCTTTCGTTGGGGAAAAGTTCAGGAATAGATAGACTTAATAACTTCAAGCCGTTGATCAGCTGAACCCACACTAGCTATCTAGGATATGATAAGACCTACAAGGTCAATTTAATTGTTCAGAAGATTCTTCTATTATGGGGAACTAGAGTAATCTATTTTCAGAACGAGAATATCAGTGGTTATTTTTGGAATATTCGCCAAAAACTTAAACTATCGAATTTCGATTTTTGCTCTACCGCCTCCACTTCGAATGAATGAATAAAATGTTGAAGAACTTTCAACACTGTTTCATGTTTATTATAATCTGATATAAATCATTTTGTTATTCTACATTCCATTAGATTTCCTCGTTGAATCATTTTTTAAAATAAACTTGTTCGAGCTAAGATGAATTCTCTCGAGAAAAATATCTGGTCGAGGCGGGAATCGAACCCACGACCTTCCGATCGTGAGTCGGGCGCACTACCACCGCGGCCAATTTCACAACGTATATACTTGGGCAGAGGCAGAATTAGCGGCCATCGAACACTGTATAAGGGAAATAAACAGGTAGAAGGTCACAAATGAAATCATTGCCATTTTTTTTTCGACCGCTAGGCGGCAATTAAGGCGCTCAGCTCATTTCTAGTCTTTTCAAGACTGGTGGAAAGCTGTCTGAGCACACTCAAGGAGCTAAGTACCCAAAATAGGGTCACTCTAGCTTGGGTACCCGGACATGAAGGTCTCAAGGGCAATGAGGAGGTTGATGTTCTAGCCCGTGAAGGTGCATCCAAACCTATGATCAGTACAGAACCCTTCTGCGGGGTAGCGAGAGCATAATATGCTGAAGGCATCCATAAATTCATGGATACAAGCCGAATCGACAGATTGGTGGAATAAGCTCCCATGAATGAGGCAGGCGAAAGAGTTCATGAAGAAACCATCGCCCAGATTCACGGAAAACCTGGTAAACCACAACAGTAAGGTTGTAAGAGCGCCCGTGCACGATCCACATTTTGCGGTCGGATCGACCACACAATTGCAGTCGCGTTCCAGCGAACTCAAGCCGCCCATGCGAAATACTGTACTACACGTACACGGGTGTTCACAAAAGTCAAAACGCACGTCTGCAGTCAACTTGCTGCTGATCTCCGCCGAGATATCATCGCAACCTGCAGTCGTACCCAACCGCGTACAGCGTGGTGTACTTTTTCTCATATTGGTCTCACAGCATTCAATTTTTGACGTCACTTGCCTCAACTGCAAGTGCGGTTTCTATACCCGCAAGTTCGATCACAAAAATGTGGTTGGGTCAACTGCTAAGTGCAGTCAACGTGACCACAATGTTGTGGTTGCCTCAACTGCAAATATGTGGTCCGTGTACGGCCAGACTAAGGGTAGTGGTAGGTCTACTAACGGGGCATAGCCGACTCAGGAAACATATGAGCAACATGTGTCTGACAGGAGAAATCCGATGCAGGTTTTGTCAAGCAGAGGAAGAAACCGCATTGCAAGTGCTCTGTGAATGCGAAGCGAGAGCAAGGCTGAGACACGCAAGATGCGGGGAAGTGAAACCAGAGGCTGCCAGCTATATAAAGGGGTCAGTGGCGAGGCTTTGGGGTCTCATCAAAGAGATCAAGCTAGACAATGAGCTCTAACAACCAAGGAGCATCACAATAGATCTGGAAAGGTCGCAGTGAATCACGTCATGGGCTAGCTCCCCGACAATCTAATCTAATCTAATAAGGATGGGCCTCCTGTTCCTTCAATCTTCTCCAAACCATCATCTATTAGGGCAGCTATTACCTTTCTTTGACGAATTCTGAAATCTCATCATTGTTTATGTCTATTTTTGGAAAATCACTATTACCAGCAACTTGCAGTTGCAAAGTACCTGTTTCCTGTAAACTACGATTAATGGAAAGGAATAATCATCTGAATGGTGTGGTTTGATTCGGATATTTTTCCGCATAACGGTATTCCACATTTCTGAAATTATTTTCTGATTATATGTTCTACGCGAATGACTCATTATGTATTTCATCAAAAAACGTTCGTGTCAAAAATGTGGCTTAGCTCATTAAATAACATAAAGGGAGGTGGGTTTTTCGAAACGGTAGGTATACGCAATAAAAAAAAAGTGCTAGCTTGTTGAAAGCTTCATCTTATTCAAATTTCGACTCAAAAAATCAAAAGATTGAACGTGAGGTAATCGAAAAAAATTCTTTCTTTGGAGAACTATCTGAAATTCCGTGAGAAAACCATTATTTCTATCGTTTATGAAAGTCGAGTATCAAAACTGAGTTATGACAAAAACAATGTGGACACCTATTTCTTCTTTCACAGAAAAATTCAAATAACAACTCACAGTACTTGTTATGCGCTCCAGGAGTTTGACCGGTTCAGAGTGCTGAGTTTGGAAAATAATTGAGCTTGTAGTGAAAAGAGCAGTTTTGTTATCTTGAAGAGAAGTATACCTCCTTTAGAATATCTCAAAAACTGATAATTGCACCATTGATGAATACACATCATAGTTATATTCCACGTATCATTACCATTTGTTATTTCAATTCATTTCGAGAAAAAAGCATTTTTCTCACATGAAAGTCTTTTCACTTCTAGTTCATTTTTTCAAACTGAAGAGGTAAATTTCATAAATGTAATGAATTGTGAGGTGAGGTGAGGTTTTCAATTGATGTGGTTTTCGAAAAATGCATGGGTTTTTGTTTACTTCACATTGAAACTGTCAATGTTGGCGTTTCACGAATAAAAACCAACCTCCAAAAAGCTATTATTTCGTTTGTATTTGATCTACAGATATCATAAACCTCACACTTTTCGTTTTAATTTTTCAAATTGTACTCCAAATCATCATATTCTGTTGAATTTTTTTCCAAAATATACCTAACAATTGAAAGTTTCAAAAGTAGTTAGAAGTTATATAAACTCAATCCAACTGATTGATATTGATTTTCCGATGGAGAATAGCTATTTATGATATGAGTGTTGATAGTAAGGTTTTATTTTGTGCGTGAAAAAGTTTGCGAAACGAGCTTAGCTAGTTGAGCTATGTCACACAAATATCAAACAAAGTTTTTGTACAACTCTCCAGTTTTCACAATAAAATAGATAAATTTGATATTTCTACAAAAACACGTTATGACATCTCTCGTCAGTTAACTACTTTCGGGTCATCGCATTTGCTGTGAACAGGCCGTGGTCAGGTGACTTCGAATCACCTGGTTACAAACAAACAGTATTGTTTACAGCTCACGCTTTTTATTTTAAGTCACATTTGAAGATCTTGCTGGTGTTTAATATCTTGCATAATGAAGAACAATAGTGAGAAATTGTGTTCCTGACGATATTGAAGAGGCTGCATAAAGAGCTTCAATTGAATTGTTATCAAAAAAATCGGCTCAGAAGTACGACACCTCATATTCTTATTTTCTCAGCTGGTGTAAACTTAAAAACGTCCAAGAAAATTTCAGCGAAACCGTCTCCTCAACCTATCTAGAAGAGATATCGAAAATATGGCATTTGTCAACTTTGTGAGGCAAGTTTTCAACGATAAAGTCGAGTGCTTTCGTTGAAAATGGTGTTAATACAAGCAAATATTTCAAGGTAATAGCATTCTTAAAGCGGAAAAATGAAAGTTATAGGTCTAAAAAATCAAAAACTCTTACGTTTGAAGAAGTCCAGAAGTTTGTAAATGAGGCGCCAGATGGAAAATATTTGATGATGAAAGTTGCTACTATTTTGGAATATATGGAACCTGCGGCGTGTAGAGCTGTGACATTTATAAATAGAAGACATTAAATTGATGAATAGATCAATGATTGGTAAAATTCCACATAAAAAAACCAAAATAGGTTCTGTTTTTTTGGAAAAAACATTGACTATTTCAATAAATACGTTGCTTTGCGCCCTTCTGTTATCAACCATCAACGTTTTTTTTTCTTAAATACTAAAAGTATGAATGCAGTGCCAACCCAGTTGGTATAAACACATTTGGAAAAATACCCTCTACCATTGCTGAGTTTCTGAACCTCCCGGAACCAAAGAAATATTCAGGTCACTGTTTCAGAAGGTCTTCTGCTTCTTTGCCAGCAGAATAAGGAGCAAATATAACGGATATAAAGAAGCACAGAGGATGGAAGTCGACAACAGTAGGTGAGGGTTACATCGATCCATCTATTTCTTATAAAAATGCTATTGCTGAAAAATAATCCCAACAGCTAGCTCTAGTGTTACAGCATCGTCCTCTTCCCTTCGAGAATGGAATGTTAATGCCCGTGAAATGTCAACTCAGTTCAAATATACAAGGCTCTTCAACATCGCCAGGTATCAATATCAGCAGTTGTTATGATGGTACTTTCCATAATAATGTTCATGAATAATTATAATTTAATTATTGTATATAATACATTTATAATATAATTCAATTGTATCTATATCTATTGTTCATAATGAAGCTTCCTTAGAGATTAAATAAGTATGTTCTATTTATTGCTATTTGGTCGAAAAAAATCGTGTTGAAATACTTTCAATACTACTGTTGAAAATATTTTTAACACGCTGCTTTGTAGACATAATCTTTCAATACTCTTGACAACCATTAAAAATGTCACTTTCAATGACAGTTGTACAAAAAGTATTTTTTGTAGTTCACTAAAATCGTACATACAATCATTCTGAAGATGTGGCTCAAATATTAGGTACACCTAACTCAATGCAAAACTGATTTTTTTTTGTGAAACTGGTACAACTACTATCTCTGCATACCGCACTGCCCCATCATTCAAGCCCGATATTTCAGCATTAGTATCATTTTCCACGCTTGACTACTTTTCAGGAATATTTATAGTGGAAAAACCGATCGACTATTCGAAATTTATGATCCAGTCACGTTCACAGTGGAAAATGGTAGTACAATGAAAGTAATGGAATGTATAATAATATATGGATGTGCAAGTTTATGGCCACTCTATATGTGATAGGTGAGTAATTCAATTCTTTTCCAGAATAACGGTGAAGATGATTTGTAGTACCTAATTGGTTTGAAAATGTTTGTTCTGGGTTGTACAGGCCTTATTGACAGAATGGTAGATAGATATTCCGTTTGCTAGTATTATGATCTTAGAAGTGTTTTTGAAAATGAAAATTTTCAGATTTCAGAATAGTCATTATTCGCATCCTCATCATGTATTGAAAACTCCTTGCTTGGAAAAAAATTTAAAATATATCCATAATGATCCAGATATTATTGAAACTTCCTATACATTTTTCAAAAGGTTTTTCAATGAACCACAGCACATTTCCGTTTTTCAAAACAATATATTTCCTGATGAAACTCACAGATGCAGAAGGTTGTCATTCTTGGCTCACTGCGCTTCCTCAGGGCACAATATTCTCGGAGCCAATGATCACTTACCCCACGGTGAGGCGAGTGCTCACTGGTTGATAATTCTGGCGCCCCCTCCCGAATGTATCGGGGCTTCGGGGGATAGGGCCTGACCAGCGAAAACTGCGGTTGAAAAAATGTAATAACAATAATAATAATGATTCTGGCTTGCCAGGATGGTGTGTTGAACACTCTAGTCCGCAGCAGTCGCGTGATGGGTATAGAGGTTCCTGGCACAAGGTGCAGTGCCTGCCGCGAGGCGCCCGAAACCCTAATGCACTTGCTATCAGCATGTCCAGGATATGCGGTCTCGGCCTATATCTATCGACATAACGTGGCCCTAAGAGTGCTATATTATCATCTACGGCACTCTTACGGCATTGACGAGACACCGGTGTTGCCCTATGATCCGGGGGATATTGAATCCGTTGTGGGGAACGAGAAGTGCCGAATTTATTGAAACTATACGTTCCCCACTCTCAGACTCATACAAGCTATTAAGCCTGATGTAGTCCTTCTCGACCACCAGAGCAAGACGATATTTGTCGTGGAGTTCTCAGCTTCTCGCGGGACAAATATCGTCCGAAAAGAGGAGGAAAAACAGAAGTTGAACTCCGCAGATTCTATTTGGATCACTCTGTCAAGATGGTTGTACTGATTATTGGAGTCCTTGGTGGAATGATGCCCTCTCTACTCTCGAATCTTAAAATCATAACGGCTTGCTGCACTACGGCAGAAATCATAGCCAGACAGATGAAGAAGGCTGTCTTTCATGGCTCTCTGCGCTTGCTCAGGGCACATGATTCTCGGACCCAGTGATCACTTACCCCACGGTGTGAGGGGTGGTCGTTGGTTAATAATGCTGACGCGCCCTCCCAAATGTATCGGGGTATAGGGCCTGACCAGCGCATACTACGGTAAAATAATAATATAAATTTGATCAATTTTCAGTACAAGGATCAGTCAATAACAATTTTAATAATCTGAATAAATTCAGGAAACCCACAAAGGACACCCTTAGCGTGGGTTTTACTGTTTTATTCACAATGTTCACATTATAAACCAGAACATTGAGAGTAAAATGGATTTGACAATTCAGGTTATGAAAATGTGAAGATGTGGAAATCTTGAATGTTAGAAATAATTATGTTAGAATGTGAAAAGGTAATATGTAAAAATAAAATGCAAAAGAAGTAAAAATGATAAATGTTAAAATGAAAATGCAAACATGTATAAAGTATGGAAATTGTGAAATAAAAGGACTATAATTCGTATAAAACAGAAAGGACTGCCTACTGAATGATAAAATTTGGGTTCTTTATAAGATTATTGAGATGAATTTGCTTACAGTTATTTTGATTGGATGTTATTTACACATGTAATGGTGAAAATGAAGAATATAACATCGATGAATTCAACTTTAAGGAGTATATGTTTCTGGTTTTTAATTGATTTGTTAATTTCCAATCAATTGAAAACCAGAAACATATACACGAGCAACTCTATTAAAACCGATATTTCAAAATTTCAGATTTCAGTTTCATACTTGATAATGGGGTCAAACCCGAAACCAGTCGTATAAATAAAATCTACACATATGTTTCATTCGGGAAATGTACCGCGTATTTCGGTCATTTCACAGTCGCCTCAACCTACCAAGAGGTCTGTGGTGGTTTAATAAACCACCGACCAATATCCGTATGTCGACGAAATGCAAAATCTGCCGAAACCATCGTCGATGTCTGTGAGAATGTGCAGAAGAATCCGAGGCAGTCGATTTCGCGTCACTCACAAGAACTCGGCCTTTCGCAGACCATAACTTGGCGAATTTTGCGTCGTGACTTGGGCCTGTACCCGTATAAAATTCAACTGACCCAGGCACTGAAGGTGAACGAACATAGACAACGACGTGTGTTCCCTAAATGGACTCTGGAGCAGTTTGCAATTGACCATAATTTCCATTGAAACACACACACACTCTCTTATTGATGATAACTCCGGGCACTCCCATAGGAAATGCCTGACAGATTCATCTTCCTGTTCACACATCCTGCAGCTCCATATTATGGAGGTATTCCCTTAATCAACAATGGCCAGTCAGAAATCCTACTTTTAGGCGTAGATTTTTCCTGGTCATCGGTAGATATTTCTTCGGCGACAGCTTCCCAGGGTCGCCCAGGGTGATCCTGGCAAGATTTCATTCTGTGATTCCATCCCATCTTTTTAGGGATTGAGCATGGGGGTAACATTTGGCTAGTTCCACAATTGTCGAAGTCAATAGGTGCCACTGGGTCCTGAAATTCTTAGTCAAGCCGCTTCCTTGGCTAAAGAGTCGGCAATGGAATTACCTTTACAGCTGTCGGGCCCTTTAACCCACCTCAGGATAATTTTATTATCTACCGAAGCTTTGGCTAAATATTGGTGGCACTCTAGTACTAGCCCTGAGATAATACGTTGTCTGTTCAAGGCTGATAGGGCTTGTCTGCCGTCAGTGCAGATTGTCATGTTTTCGCCAGAAATTTCTCTCCTGGTCATTTCTTTTGTGGCGATTGAGATACCAGCCAGTTCTGTTTGGACCACGCTGGTATTTATTCCCATTCCCCACTTACTCTTCAGGCTCTGGAGTACATTCCGCATCCTGAGCCTTGTTTGGTTTTTGAGCCGGCTGTATATATGCGTATTGCATTTGTAGCATCTGCCTCTGTATTCTGTTTCATTTGTATTTTGTAGGGTTTATCAAACACAAACCTGGCTTCAATTTTATCATTGGTTGCCTGAAGCAGACGTTGCGTAGTAAGCGCTTCTCGCCATAGGCTCGGCCTCATTTGTTCCATTCCCACTCCGAAGTTTACACCAGCCGTGCCCAATCGTAACATGGTCATTAACGCAACCTCCTTAAGATACAGGTTCAGAGGGGTCAGAACCGTAATTGATTCCATTGCCCCGGTTGGTGTTGCTCTCATGGTTCCTGTGATGTTTAAATAAGCCAGTCGCTGTATTTGATATAATTTTTGGATGGACGATGCTTCTTAAACTTTCAGTCCCTATGTTATGGCTCTGTACGTTAACATAGGTCTTATTATTGCAGTGTATATCCAGGTGACTACACGGGGTGAAAGACCTCATGTGCGTCCCACTGTCCTCCGACATTGCTCATAAGCCACATATGCTCTTTTTGCTCTACTCTGTAGGTGAGAGTTTGGGACCATACTAGTCTACATGAAATCCAAGAGCGTTCAATGCATTCTGAGAAAGTCACCGTTTGGTGTAGATTTTGGGTTGAGGACATCATCGGTTAATTTTTCTTGAAAAACGACCTTGGCCAGGCCATCACGGCGAGCACTATAGGTCGATGATTCCCAACTTTTTATGGCCTAGACACCAACGACATGTGGTTTCAACAGGACTGCCTCACGAGCCACACAGCTCATGCCACATTGGATTTGAGGGAATGGTCATTTCACGTGGAGATGATGCGAAGTGGTTACCGAGATCGTGCGATTTGACCCCGTTAAGCCAAGTCGAAGCCAACATAACACATGGAATCGGTCAAATTCAGCCTGAGTAATGCGCCAGAGTCATAGAGAATTGGACGTTTCGGATGTACTCCACCCAGAGAAGCCGTGGCAGACATTTGATGATGTTATATTTCACACATAATGGTATCAATAGTTTTTTCAAACGAATTAAAAATTCTGATACTCACCACACTTTCTTTTATTCAAATGTAAAGGAAGTACTTAATCAACGAACCCATATTATATGGAATCTGAACCAGACTAACACCAAAAATAATTTTCATAACAAGCCAACATCAATGAACAGGCTATATTGGGTACAAATCAGTCCCAATACATCCGTAATTGAAATCATTCTGTAAACTCATCAGTTCACGAATCCAAGGGAATTGCGTCTGTCTTGATGCAATTATCGAAGGTGTGTGGCATGGCAAGCGTGAGAGTATACAAAATACGGAACAAAGGATACAGAATGCTTTCAGAATACAAGAGAGAATAGGTTTAATTGAACATACGTTTATTGCAAATTGGATCTCTACTCTAAATAATTTGATAGAGAAATAAAGAAAAACACATCTGTTATATGGAATTACCGCAGTGTTATTGTATGACTCTTATCGAATTTTCACATAATTGATGGAATTTTACGCCACTAATTCATTTAGTTTGAAGCATAAAAACACAGTTGAGTCTAAACGATGGTAATTGAATTTTTTTTATTCAAGCCACAACCGTCAGGGGTTATCGCCTATACAATAATTTTCATAATGTGTTTTTTATAGTACATTGGCTGCAATAAGTGAATCAGGAGTAGCTTGTCACTCATATGTTATGTAGGAAATTGATGTCTTCCAGAAATTTTAGTAGTTTATCATTTGACTGACCGTCCAGTAACACTTTTAGATTTGTTTGTAGGTGGTTGACAATGTTTCGTGGTGAATTTCATCAGTTCGAACTTTCATTGTCTATTTATATTATATTAGACAATGGAAGTCCGAACTGATGAAAAACACTCTCCTGTCATTTCATTTGCCCATCTCTTATCTGTGTATAGCGGGCACTTCACCAGAAAGTGTAG